AACTGTGAGAGAATAAACAATTTGAAGCTGACGGTTAGTGCAGACATTCAAGTTTTAGATGTTTTGGAGTTAATATATCTGTGTCATTCTGACCGATTTTCAGCATTTCACCATCAGTCCTCAACCACTGATTCTTTTTCTCTCGGAGACTCAAACCACGCACTCTGCATCTCCCCACAAGGCTCAGACCGACAGTCAAAGACTTTATTGATTATTGCCAGACAGGTGGTGACTTGGCATGTGCAGTACATGTCCAAGCCATCTCAGTCGATTAAGCTTCACAACGTCATAAATCGACTTAGTTGTTTTGCTTAATACCCTCCGTTTGATCTCAACATCGCTCACACAGTGATTCCATTAAAAAGATGAGCAGTGGCATGAAGACACCTATGATCGAAACCCTGTACTTGCTTCATTTTTACTACTTTTGAAGGCCACGTATCACAGCCGTACAGCAGGACACAACGGACTGCAGCGCAGTATACTCTTCTTTTGATAGGTATTCACTGGTACTACAGATGACGCAAGTTGGCAATTGCCAAACAAGCCTTCTGTATTGGAGCTGAGGTTTCATTGTCAGCAACCAGCCCGTAAGTAAAGTAGTCGACATATCCCACCACTTCACTCCTTGTCATTATGCTGGCAGTGGTTGCATACCAGTCCTGGAGTATCATCTTAGATCTGACTGGTGCGAAGTGCCAGCACTTTTTCAATACTAATGCATTAATGTAATGATATTTTTTTCAAACTACTGGTATTTTGTTTGCTTCCTTCACTTTGATTGCACAATACAAGCACCAGTATTAGTTTGTCGCCCAAATTAAGGTAAATCAAGTTTCCTACTACGCGGCGCTTACTGACTCAATTATTGGTCTGAGATAAGTTTAGCTGTTTTCACTAGTGTTCATTCACTATCTCATGGTGATAGCACGCAAACAACTTAATAATTAAGCTTTCATTTCTTACCTAAATTGATGAATGCTGATGATAATTAAGTTCAAAATATTTTCAAGTTATATCTTCAACTCTGTTTCTGATATGCATTTAGACATTATGCGATCATCACAATGATCATAAAGGACAGAACCTCGGCCATTAGAAGGTTGTACTACTTCCATCTGACCATATCGTATTGTTGTGTATTCATATCAAACTCACTAACCATTCCTCACTTTAAGGTATAAAAATCACCCTAATCTGATTAACTGAATCATGATTTTGAAATCATGATTTAATTAGTCAGATCAGGGGGATTATTCCAAAGAAGAGAGAAAATACGCTGTCATGTTATTTTCGATAAAAACACTATCATTTTAGGTATGGTCTGATGATGCATATGAGAATCTCGAGACCTAAACAACTCATCATCAAAAACCTACCCGTAGTTGCAGATCTTCTGTCTTTGTTCCTGACTACAAGGTGTTGAGATTCATTTAAACCTAGTACTCTACTTAAGATGAGGCGGTCTGAATGGCTATGGTTTGTGGCGATTTAATCACAACACGGTGTTTGTTAGTGGCATTCGGGATACAATTTTGATAATAATATCATAGCATAAGTGTCTGTCATTAGTTTTCCTCCAAATTTACTTTTCAGAGAAACACAAAGAGAACCATTAGTCCTCTTCCTAATCGTAGGTTAATGTCAAGATGCTAGATTCCGAAACATTGAGATTCTTGTATCGGTATACATCAACAGATGAATCTCCAGAACTAGTCTACAGGCAGTCTATGAATCTGAAATGTGGTTTGGTCATATGTGGCCTTGGAGCACTAACCTAGTTACCAGATAATAATCCATTTGAGTAACACTCGAAGATGTTAGTTGTTGGGTGTTCTCCAAACTATCAGGTTTGTTTTTGGACGTCACACTAGGCTAACCAACTTTTTCAGAAGTTACTTCAGAAAGAAGTGAAGCATTTTCAAATAACACAAATTGTTATTTAGGATATTTGACAACATGGAGCGTTATTGGGTTGAGGTTTCTTTCTTTCGCATGAGGCTAGCCTTTGTACCTATTGAGATCATTGAACCTCCGTGAAATTCCTGATCTGATTGACTGATTTCTAGTTGACTGGTTTCTTCTCGGTAGTTGGCATATCGAGTTTCAGAATGTAGCCTGAGAATGGTGTTCTCTTTGTTTCACACGTGACAGTAATACCCGTGTGCAGTATTTTATTGAACTTCGGCAGGTAGAAACTGTGTAAGTCATGATAGTATTTGAGCGAAAGTACTCACGGCTTGGTGATGAGTAATTGGGTAGTGCTCTGGTTTTTTGAAGAAATTATCACATTTCAGAACAAATATCATCACTGCACTAAGTGTACTAGAATGAATTACATCAGACCTATTTCTCAGCAGCTCTGGTAAGCATAAAGTGATATCTTACTCACCGATGAGTTAGGCAAGGAATACTTCCACTGTGTCACAGTTGGAACATCCACTACCTCTACCCCCCTGTGACTATTTATTCTTATTCTCCTCGTCATCATTTCAAGGTCCCCTTAATCATATGGAATTTACGGCTTACTGAATTATCGAACAAAAAACAGAACTCAGTGTATCAGAATCCGTTTTATGTGTTGCCTAGAAGAAAGAAGATTATTTGTCTGACTTGCAAGGTAATGTATCTTGTTAGTTTCTAATTTCTCATATCATTTATGAAACTCTTAGACCAATGATAACGATAATGAGAATAGTATTACCAACCAATCATAAGTGCTCTGAAATGGACTGACTGCTAGATAATTTCAAAAAATATCTGAAACCTAGTTTCATGTAATTCTTAGATTATCAACTAAAACTCCGGAAACGCGTGAAGGTTTCTCATGGAAAATTGGTTTAATGAATGTATTTTTGCACTGACTAGTAATCATTATGTCCAAGGACGACAAGCATACATTTTCCACTTCTACAAATGATAGTGGTAGGTCCTTCATTTTACCATGTCAACCTAAGAATTCGTTTATCTGTGGGCTAAGGCAACATTCAAGTTTGGTCTTTTATCTGTATGATAATGCCTGATTGGTCGACTACAAATTATACAAATCATGTATGTAAGCTGTTCTCAGTAAACCCAGTGACTGAATATATAAACAGCTGGGAGATGCTTTCAACTTACCTAATTTGTTTTTTCCTTCAGTGTTTTCGTAAAATATTCAAAATAATTCATCGCCAAAGCGTGTGCCTACTTCGAATATCTATTTCTAGCTAATCTCTCAGGATGAGTACATCATGGTGCAAATCACCTGAATTCATGCAGTAGGTGCAACAAGAGTACAAGACACGCAATACAACTCAAAATCTCACAGCCCTAAACCTGTCTCATGTAAGGTCAAAATAAGAAAATGGTCTTGAGAATATATACGTGTCCTCAATCAAGATGAGTGATACCACTTCAAGTAATGAGAATGCAGTACTATATTGTAAACAGTGAGGTATATTCGCACATAATAATGGTAGTGAAATTGTACATTTTCAGGTCATAATGAAAACCACTTTCATAGCTTTACCTTGAATTTGCTTCTTAGTTAGTTTACTCATGTAAGGATGCACCAACCTTCTTTCATGCTGACCGTTTTTCAGGAAAAATATTTTCCATTAAGTTTTCCAAAATAGTTCCACTCTGTATAATTACTGCATTGATAATTCTACTTCAGGATATTGTTAACAATAAATGATACAATGATAATAGTGAGATTTGTGCTATTCATTTCTGTTACTATAAAGCATTTAATATGGCGGAGTTGTTCGTTCATTGTTGAGTAGTAGTGTTTCCTCTAAGTATGAAGTTAGTATTGGATTGAAATCTAATCTCTACGTTTCTTCCGCCCTCCACATAGGATCTCTTAAATCGCATATGATGCTGCTTACAAATACTGCTCCGTGCAGCATATCTCGACTTTGCGAACGAGTAGTCAATGTTTTTCAGACGTTTCTGATTTTACTGTCGGATTTCGGAAAAATTAACCGCTGAAAACCAAAGTACGCTGAAAGTTTGCACAACTTCCCCTTCAGAAATATTGGTCATTACAATCGGAGAAGCAATCATGGGATGAAATCTGATTACTCGTTACTTATGAAGTATACTTTGTTCCTAGCGCATTGTCACATATCCTTCGATTGATGTAATTAACTATTTTCCTGGACGGTTGCAAATATTTTGATAAAGGCTTACTTTTAGCCTATTCTCCACAGGTCATATACTAAAATCACGGATAGATTGAAACATTGATCATGATGTGCAAACTAATGTCTATTAGGTGGCTTTTTTACGAAAAGCATGAAATTGTACATTTATAACAGTCTTGGAGAATCATCACGCACTAGCTTTTATTGACCAGTGTGAATTACTCAGATGGCTTGTAGTAACAGTCTACTGCTATTCAAAAAAAGATGCGATTCTCAAACTTCCATACATATTAGGTAGTCACAAAATGATATTAAGCCGAAAATGTAATACTAATAGAAGTACAGAAAATGCAGCTAACCTCCGAATGAGTAAGAACACCAAGTCTTCATACCCATCTAAGTGATGATGTTCTTTTTACTTTGTTTAAGAAATTAAATCTACATACTACAACGTAAAGATCGATCCTCGTGAATAATAGCATCATAGCGTATTCAAAGATGGCTTTCAAAGTGTTTATAATTATTTCACTTCATCAGTGCTGATTAACAGACGTCCTAGATCCGCGATGATTAACTATATTTTTGCGACAGATGACCAAATGCTTTTTGATAAATCGTTTGAAACCAATTTAAAAGTCTTTTGAGAAGCATCCTCAAATTTTTCACATTCGTGAACATTATTAGGCTTAAGCTACTCTTATTTAATCCAGTACTGCGTGGAACTGACAAAAAATGTTTTAATAAGATTATTCACATACTCCAATAGTGAAGACATCTAACTACATTGAATCTTTTCAACAGGAAATGATTGTCAGAAATACAAGGAAGAAGCTGATATTATGAAAGGGGAACATTTGAATTTTCAGCAATGACCATTTGTGTAAACTGATTTATAAAGTGGTTAACATCACGTTTGAGTCAAAAACAGGTTCTTCGTTTCCTCAGAATATGCAGTAAAGAAATTCTTGATGTGTTCTGAATATTTATTGATTCCATTGTGTACAGCTGAACCAGAACATTATTTGCCTTCATAGTACTGTTCTATTTCATTCTGATAGGAGTCATTAACCGGTTTCGGTGCAAACCAACTTTTACACAACCTGAAGATGACACAAGAAAAAAAAGAAATATCAGCATTGTACTAACTATAGCAACATACATTTGTCTTTATGACTTTTTTGAAACATTTATTCGTATCATGGTGATGAGCATAAAATATATTGCGATACGACAACCTCTTATCTATTTAGAAGTAACTTCGGCTGTGCTGCTTTGAAACATTTCTCTATCAAAATTTTTTAAAATACTCAGTATACACATATCAATGAGAAAGTGTCTTTGATTACTGAAGCAAAACCTTTTGACCCAGTCAGCATGCAGCTAAGCCAAGCTGTCCAACTAATGATCCAGAGGGCTGATTTATAGTGAAAATCTAAAAGAACGCAAACTGACACTAATGGATTTACAACTACGACAATGTTTAGTGGAATCATCGTGAGGGAAGTTTGTCATAGAACAACCCATCTCAGTCAATGATGCAATCAAAATACACACATAAATAGACTGGGAGTCAGTGAAACTTCAGTTTTGTGCCCAAAATGTGACACAATGTCCAAACAGTTCGGTTGAGATGTGGCTATCATGCAAAATATTCACTAAGCATGTTGATTTCTCCGCCGTTTTTGAGTGCTTAGCTCACATGCTGAATTTCCTTTGGTGAAGAGAATCAGTTGTCTGTTGTAGTGAAAACAGGAAAGGTACTGTCACACTGTACTATCACAATAATAATGACTCCCAAATGAGTCACTTTTCTTACTTTCGGTGTTGCAGGTTATTGGTGTTAACGGCATTACTTGACGATAACTCCAGTAAATTACGTTGGAAACTCGCATGAAGTTGTCGGAAATGACAATTTAATGATGTGCAAATGTCAGTCGGTCAGGAGGAAAACGGGACATAGCCTTGCTGTGTTGAAATCCGGATGTTGTCAGCGTTTAATATATATTTCACTGATCACCCTTCGATCAGGTATGATCGAACTTCCCAAGCAAGTGAAGTGAGCAACATACTCAACCATTTCGCTTCTTACAGTCGGACCAAATGCCAATGTAGACCTTCTTTGGATCAAGAGATTGAATTCTAGTATTTTCAAAAGTATTCCAACCATTTTCAAATTCTACTTAAGGCTGTTCGAAAAACTTTGCAGCCTATCAGCATCTTCATCTTGAAAAACAATACCAACTGTTTACTTTAGCTGTCTCCTCTAACAAGGTTAGTGACGGCAAAGTCAGACAGTAAGAGAGGGATCTCAGTATGAATGTCTATGAAAAAATTAAATTAGAATGCAGACGGTGAAAAATCTTTATGGACAGCAGTTGGACTACATGATTCGCCTATCACATCACTGAAAGTTGTGACAAGTATATGACTATTTGAATACAAATTCTTCACAAACCTCGTGTACTTACCGTGAACCTCTTTTAGTGAGAAACTGTTATAAAACCCCTCAGTTGACGGTTTCGAATGTAGCAGGTAGGTCAAGAAATACAACCAGTGCCAGGTGTCAGTAACTGTGTATATGTTTCAGAATCTGGTGAAGGGTAGATAACTGGCTGACATCTACAACTGGGTTCGGAAAATGCCTTATTCAATTAAGCATGCTCTTCTTCAGCCTCACTTAAGCGTCTAATGATTATTGAATCCTGGATCCTGGACACTATTTACATCAGACTAGTCTGCCTGTGACCATAACAAAGGGATTTTGCTCTTTTCCTAAAGATCAAGAAAGTGGGTGATCGAAGCCAGATAGATAGGACCATATCTGACTTTCACACGCTACCAAACACTTAAGTTAATCCAACCCATTATATTCGACTTCCGCCGCTGATTGCATCTTGTACTAGCTCGTCCGAGTTTGTTGCCCTTTCTGACTGCAAGTCTTTTACAGCTTATACCACATTTCCAGGCCCTATCCCAGTGTTCCATTCAAAATTCAAATTAACAGCAGGCAACGGAATAGCAGCTAGAGGTAAGCTGAACTATCACTTAGAGTGATCACTCCATCGTTCAATAAGTTTTCCCTTGTGGATGAATTGCAGAAGAATCCTTCGCTACGATATCAGTTACTTAACAGTTTTCTTTCGTCAGCTTAAATAGATTTATACTGTTACATATCGCTGCTATCTTTTACTCCTTTTTGATCTTCATTACCTACCACTACTGATGATCGTTAATGTAAACTTCTCGCAAGTTCACATCAGAGTTGGTTCCGCTCTTCATTGTTCTCGGAGACTGCTGAAGTAAATTCACTTATGTTCATTAATTCAAGAGATACTAGGATACGCTGACGCTTTCTAAGCTCTCACTCTATCCGAACTGCAGCCAGAAGACGCATAGCCATAGTCTACGAAGAGAAAATGAAGAGTTTCAGTAACCTTTTTAGTCCTTATGACACCAATCACTCGAACGACTCATAAACAACTGCTAACTGAGAACCAGTCAAACAGTGTCCTAAGACGACACTATACCTGTGGGCTACGGAAACTAGATGCCAATCATCAGAAACTAGATGAGTGGATTCCGCAGATTCACTACAATTATTGACTATAGGTTCAGTGAGTAAATTCACTTAGGACCTGTTTGCGTTTGTCACAAAGATAGCACATGCCCATGGTCCAAGATGCTACAGTTTTGCATAGCAAAGCTTGTCCCTTTGACTAAGGGATATGTATTTTGAAGTACAGTTTCTGGACCTTAGGTATTCTATTCCGTGGACTGGGATCATCATCAAGGAGGTGAGATAATAACCACATCTTCCTAGAGCTATTGCTTTTAAGAATAATCAAAATTTACCTTGTGATAAAGAGAAGAAGTGAACATTACTGCTTTAGTTAGCTCTTCTCCGGCTTTGCTCTAACATTCATTAGTCTGTGATAGCTAGGTGAGGATCACTGCAAGCAGTTAATATTCACATAATAATCATAATCAAAGTATCCATAATTTTCGTATTTATCCAAGTGACGAATAGGTAGAACAGGACGGTACTGCAGACAATTAAACAACTGTAAGTCAAAGCTGAGGAAAAAGTGTAAAGAATGAAGAATGAAGATGATCTAAGTTCAAGCAAATAAGACATTGAGGTGGGAAGAATAAAGTACTTGGTTTTCTCAGATCTTTGATGTTTGCTCTAGGGTGTTCCTTTGCCAGGCTAGGGACTTCATCACCACTTAATTCATACAGAAGTGAAACATTTTAAAGTTACATGAGTGTTTGTAAGAGAATATTTGCTGGCCCTGATAGTTATTGGCTTCTGAGAAGGGGTGAACTCTTCTTTTTTTTACCAGAGGTTGACCTTTATAACTGTTGTTGTCTTTTGACCTTTGCTGCTGACCTAATTTCTGACTGCTGATTTGCTTGATTGATTTCTAGTTGGCTGATCTCTTCTTAGTAGCTCGCATGTTGGGTCAATTTCCACGTGTCTGTTGATTGCCGTTTGATTAGGGTACCATGCTCCCAGGAACTCCTATGCAGTTTGTTAGCCTGCTTGTTGTAGTATTTCCACGTTATTCCAACCAAAGTTTTTGTTGGGTTAAACTACACGTACAGAAATCAGTGATGACATATCATACCCGCAAGTTGATGCTCATAAATTCTTTGGCTTATTTGACGATTGGGTTAGTCAACACAGTGATATTGACAGCCTTTACAACTAATTTTGTAGAGTATATTATTCTTGTCTTCTTTGGGTAGTGGATCCTTTAGTTTACATAATATATTCTGCAGTGATTTGGTGTTTTGTACGCCATGCTGATACTGAAAAGGGGAAGTAGTCGACGTCTAGTAAAGTGATCCGTTTTGTAAGCTAGGAGTAATTGGCGTGATGTATGTTCTGTCGATAAGTATTTCTTGAAGTAGTTGGTCGGATAATCACTGGCTGTGAAAACTTTGTTAAGGTGGTTTTCTTCTGACTTCCACAGTTACTGAGTGGCTCAATGGGTCTCAGCACATGCAAAGACTGTTTGTACACAATTCTTCATGCGAAGAGTTAGGTTGCGACCGTCGTAGTTCAAAATTTGATCTGTGTATGTCATCACCCTGTACACTTAGGTCTGTCTCCTTACGCCTTGTAATTTCATTCATTAAGAGATGTTTGTCTCAATTAAAATTTAAATTCAAGTTGGTCACTATTACAGTCAAAAATATCTTCATTACACCACTAAAAATGTATTTCATCTCTGAATCAAGAAGTTTACTGTCTGACATTTAATAAGTCTTATTCACCTTAGTACTGATTGAAAATAGTCTGGAGTGAATTATTTTTCAAAACACATCAACTTTTTCACATTAGAGGTTGAATATGCGTCACATGATTAAAGTCAAAATAAGTACAGAACATTCAGTTGAATCATAATCGGATTAGTCTTTTTGATGTATTCAATTTTGTAAGAATCAGGTTTAAGTAGTTCGGAAGAGCATACTCCATATGAACTAAATTCACTTGATTTGACGCACAGTGAAGCAGTATCATATACTGAATAATGTTTGATGTATAATTTATTGCTCACAATCACTTAAAGGTAATCATACAACTTCTGACAGCAGATTATGATAGTTATGTGGCATATAGCTTGAGACGAAGTAATTAGTGAGGGAATTATTGAAGAAATTGTCAAAGGTTTTGTGATTGCCTTGATATAATAATGAGCCATAAATTCCACTGGAAAAATAATTCCGTAAATAATACTGCTTCACTGTGAGGTGTAGTACAGAAACTTATTTCAGGTGGTATAGGCTGTGATGTATGAAAAGTGTGTTAACTTATTTATTTAAACATTCATCATACAACCTTAGGAATTAGAACTGATATTTTATTGTGCATCATATCATATTGGTAATCTGCATGTGATGCAGATTTATGTCAACCTGATGGCTATCGTATAGGATTGAAACACCGAAAATACAAGCCTGATGATGCGGCATACCATACTAGATTGTTGATTTGATATAGCACCCTCCTCTCTACTCTACTACACCGTTCAACTCTTGCTCTTACACTAATGATGCATGATAGATATTTAATGATTGTGCTTAGTTAGTTTCCTCTACATTTACTTTACTATGACTGTGATCATACGACAAGCTTACTAGTTTACAACCGTACAACCGTGCACTTTATGATAAGCCTACCTATAATCACACTAAAATGTATTTCCCTCTCAGGTATATCAAATTTCCTAATTGACAATAAATGAATCCTATCATCTCTTTTGCACAGTTTCTTAGATTTGAAGTATCGCCAACTGCACGTAAGTCGTACATTTTATATTCTACAACAAGTATGTACGACAAAATACAGTGGAAAAATTATGCCTAATCAACAGTTTACATTGAAAATAGTTCTGCTGACAAATGCTTGTATCACAGAATCTGAATGTCCAGGCCAACCTTTCATCTGAATTGTATACACAATTCAGTGTGACGCTAAATCTCATTCGCCGTACAGTTCAACAAAATAATTAATCTGATTGATCTTTCTGAAATAATTATATTCTAAGCCTCTTCGTTATTGTATTCTGATTGATAAAGCATTCGCATTCCAAGTTATTATTTGAATGATTTAAAAAAATGAAATCAGCTTATTAGGTTGCCAAACTTCGTGATAAGTGTGATGATAAAATGTTCACTTACGTTGCTGTCCTCTTATTCAAATCGATATAGGCGGAAGCGCATTCGAAACTAAGAACCATTGCATTAGAGTTCATTCCTTAAGCCAATGAATGAATCACGTCTTCAGATAGAGATCAGTTACAGAGTCTGTAAAGCCATTATTACTATAAATACTTCATTTTAATTGTAGACTGTTTGCAGTTAAAGAGAGGCCGTGGATTAGAATGAGCCCATTTTATTTTGCAACTGTTTTTGTTCTCGCATTATTCAAAATAATTAAAGATGTTAAAACTTTTAGACCATATTTTTCCTTCAAGCCGAAACTCTGGCAGTCTTCCTACAATCTAAATTGTTAATTGAGCCGAAAGACTGTACTGTGGAGTACACGTGATAATCCCATGTGATCCATTAATGAAATACTTCTGCATCATGAACAACCAAAAGAAGAGACTACTTTGATTTGAGGAATGGTATGTGGAAACCTGGTAGCTTCTTCCTTAAAAATAACTAAGGAAGACCTAAGCACTGATTTATGCACTAATTTTGAGTTATGTACTCACAAAAAGAAGAGCTGAAACTTATCTGTACTAAGTACGGAATACTGTTTCTAGTCACTTTGCTACTGGATAATTCAAAATGCCAGCAACGTTTTACGTACATAAGCAATAATCTTCAACATTTACTTGCTGGTTAGCTCATCTCTTGGATAAATTTCACTGTTCTGAAAAGAGGACCATACCACCAGTGTGGTGTAATTTCTTTCCTCTGTGCAAACAGACATGCTTTCTGTGTAGGGTGTTCGAAGGCAGTTGATAGAAAGGTACGGAGCTAGATATTAAGCGTGTTGATTCTCATCGACAAGATTTGTCTGAACCTAAGTATTTTCGAACTGTAGAAATTCAAATTGATAGTACTCGATTTCCTAGTCTCTTGGGTTGCGTGAACACTAACTTTCTACGCTCGTCTGATCTTGCCTTGAGGATTGAAACCTTCCTCTAGTGACGTCTCTGTCCTAGAGATCAAATCGACCTTCTGAGACAGTGATAGCTCGATTAGTGCTAGTGAGCTAAACTTAGATCTATTCGTTACAACTGTATTTTCGATATCTAACGCGACATATTGTTCAGAGTCTTTGATTGGCATGGTCTAGCTATTATTTGTATAACATCATCAAGCAAAGACAAATGCCTCACATTTTCTCTATGCGTGCAATTTATGTATGGTGTTAATGACTTACCAAGATGCCGGACGATACCCGTTTCTTGCAAACAATTCGTTTTTGGTTGGTGGCTTCAATGAAAGTGTTTTTGTACAGTCATCATCTTTGACTGTTAAGATGAATTCTGAACTTAGAGAAATATTCCTCCCATCAAATTCAATGTACATTTGTCCTGAACGAAATAAATGTCTTTGAGTTATTTGTGTATTTTTCTCACAGATTTATATAAAAAAAAGTAAGTAGTGATCAGACCTATTGGTTGTAAGTGAGGACTTTCACTTTAAAGTGTGCTATTATAGCGATCTTCATGGGATGAATGGGAAGCTAACTTGAATTGGGAAGCGGAATTCGAAGTCTATGCATGGTATACCGTCAGGTAGTACATCTTACGACGTTTTAGTCTGTTTATTAGAAATGTCACATAGTGAAACAGTATCACTTACTGGATAACGTTTCAGATACAATTTATTCACCGTATTCATACCACGTAACTGCACAACTCTGAGACAGTGTTTATATAGTCCTAAGCCTGTCTCCTTATTTGTGACAAACGTCGTAGAATTTTCCATATATCTGCGACAGGTGTAGAATCATTCCTGTTACTGCATGTATTTCGTGTTAATTTGGTAAACAAAGATTCTGTTGTCAATCTCTCCCTCCACCCAACTAAGTTAGTTTTCAACACTAACAATCTATCACACCCTACTGTGTGATTGTGGGTAATTGCGTGCAGAGCTGTAGCTGGGCTTTACTCTGAATTTCTCATTTTATTAGAATCTACTAATCTTGAATTAGCTGAGTTTTTGTGCTGCCATTCCGGTCGACCCTGGTCGACTACATTGACCTATGTATTTCACCTCAGAATTATTGCCTAGAAGATTAGTTTTTTTTCGATGACCTACACAGCTTGTTTCTAATCTCGTTTGTTGATTTAAATGCCACTTCAATCCCAGCTATATTAAGAAATCTTCGCAGTGCTTCTGGGGTGACTTATTTGTATGGAAACACAGCAGAAAATTCGAATCCTCCGTCAACACTGTTACCATTATCACTACAAGTAGCAGAAATGTTATTAATAACATCTGCGTCACAACTACTGCTAATGTTCTTGACGATTCTCCTTCGAATTCTGAAGAATTTATTTATAAATTAGAGTGGGTAATTATTAACACGCAAGGTATTTTTGGAGTCTTCAAATTCTCGTCGTAGATTTTATGGCTTACCATATCCTTGCAATGATTGTGAGGTCCTATTCATAGGTGAAGTAAGTCGATCTGGGTCGACCGGAATGGCAGCACAAAAACTCAGCTAATTCAAGATTAGTAGATTCTAATAAAATGAGAAATTCAGAGTAAAGCCCAGCTACAGCTCTGCACGCAATTACCCACAATCACACAGTAGGGTGTGATAGATTGTTAGTGTTGAAAACTAACTTAGTTGGGTGGAGGGAGAGATTGACAACAGAATCTTTGTTTACCAAATTAACACGAAATACATGCAGTAACAGGAATGATTCTACACCTGTCCCAGGTATATGGTTTCAAAAACCACCCTAATCTCAGCATTGTTAACAATATTACGTGGAACTACTCCGAAAAAACCAAACGTTTACTTAACAGGCGGTCAACTGTAACTTGCAGGAGTTCTCTCCAGCATTGAAATGACATCAAACTCATGAACACTTGGAACTAACACTTAAAGATCAGAATAAATTGAAAGGGAACTTAGTGAAACCAGAGATGTTGGCGCTAACCAACTAATGAAACGATAATAGTGTGATAACTGCCAAATCTGACAATTGCAACTTGACAGCAGTCATATGTTAGGTGGACTACTTAAAGAAAGTCAATGAACATATCGAAACAGGACTGTTTGTAGAAGTTAAGAAACCTGTAGACATAGATATGATCAAAATTAAGAAGTCGACAGCTTATGCAATGCACCAGACAAAACCATCTTTGAGTGAGTTCCAAAGGTTTATTTTAAAACTTAAAATTAACAATCTCCGTAAAATGTATTGCACCATTCAGATTCCTAAACCACGTTATCATGTCCGGTCAGTAATTAACTTTAGAAACACACCAACATGTGAGTAATTGGAACATTACGCCACAATATTTTGTCCAATTAGAAGTTGCTCATAGTCTAGGCTAACCACTTCCTCTGATTTGAAACGAAGACTGAATGATATACAAGTGGAGGAGGAAGCAAAAATGGCTAGTTTTGATGTGACGGGATGCTCTTCAAATATACTAATTTAAAGGTCACTTGACGCAACAAAAAATGTACGCAATTATTCATCACAGAGTGAGATCAGTTAGAGAACAAGTGAACGACTTGAAGCACTGGACAACTGTTTCGTCCTAGCACCGTAATCCTCATCAATACATACTCATGACGCGGTTAGGGATAGAACTCAGGATCTTGAGGTTTCATGGCGAACGACTTTACACTTACTCACTAGGCGGTAATTCAGTGGTCAGTAGTTTCCTACCTTTGTCAATATGACGTGACTGTCAACCGAAGTCTCCAGTTGGCATGCGTTTCACTTCTGTCTAGTTGACCCTTCAGGTCACAGCTTCTTATTAGAACTTCGGGATATCCATCTCGTAGAATGTCACTGATGAGTACTATAATGCAATGCGCTTTGACTTCCAATAAAATCTGTGGACCGTTGAAGTCTGACCCAGCGAGGTAGTGGTTAACGCGTCCTCCGTGAAACCTGAAGGTCCTGATTTTGACTTCTAGCCAAGTCATGAACGTGTACTACTGTGGAGTCTGATACTAGGACGAAACTGCTGTCCGGTGCTTCAAAGAGTTCAATTTTATCTCTAATTGATGTAATTCTGTGATGAATACTACCCTAAAAATAAAATCCTCATTAACCTTAAAATAAATTACATTTACGAAGCTTCAAAACGACGACTAAGATTTTGTTTTCATTTCTGATTGATGAATAAAACAAACATCTGCTATTTCATTTATCTCAATCATCTGTATGTCATAGTTCATTTACCTGATTCATCAAATTTCATCGGCAACAGATATGTGGCTGCTTGAATCTTCACTACATTGATTATCAGCAAACTCATCACAACAAGATTAACTTGCCATCTTTGTGACATCGTTCTCCTAGATTATACATATCAGAAAAGAGAACATTTTGATCATTTAATCAAACTAAAATCCAAGTAAGTTTCATGAGAACTCACTTCCATTTGACCGCCTCATTCCAAAAGGTGTAAGGACTGGTGAGAACAGTAAGATATGTCTATGATAGTTTCTTTTCCACTATATATTGGTCAAGGTTGAAAATATCAACACTTTGTGGTTATTAGAGCAGTTTGAAGCTTCTTGTCTTTCATTCTTTGTTCGAAAGCTTGACACTATTCGTTCAGTTTGAGTCGCTGACATTGTAAAGTTAACCTAGACTCAGGCAGTGCTTTATTTTAATGTTGCTTATTATTATTATTATTTGTACCTTGGGTTCCTAATGGAACATAGGGCTTCACTAGCACGTCTCCATTCCACTCTGTTCTCTGAAGTCTTCAAAACCTGGCTCCACAACTCCACACAAGCTCTCATTTCCTCCTCGCACCATCTCCTCTATGTCACCCTCACCACGGACGCCTAACTCATCGCTTCCCATCTGGCTTCCACTCGACGGCCTGGCCTACTGCGTGATGTCCCCAGTCGGCCTTCTCACTGTATGCCCAACCCACCTCCACTTCCTTCTACATATTTGTTCAGCGATAGCTTCTTGGTTGCTCCGTTGCCAGCCAGCCAGCCAGCCAGCCAGCCAAAGTTCCTTGTTGCTTATTCTTATTATTCTGGCCATCTGATCTTCAGCATCGAGTGAGGGTAGGCGGCAGTTGTTGATGAATGTCTGTAGTTTGTTGGAGATGCTTTTCGTGACGCGCCAAGGCTCTGAGTCATACAGAGTCATACAGATTTGATTGACGTTGGTGTTGAAAATCCGCATCTTGTTCCACATGCTGAGTGCAATGCAGAAGATCTCCACACTGGTTTCAGGCTAATGAGCGCCTATCTTGTTTTTCCGATCCTGACTTTGACGTCCTCGCCTGTGCCACCACCACCTGTAGTTGAAACAGAGCTGCCTATATAGGTGAAAGAGGCTACTTCCTTCAAGTTTCTCCCGTTGATGATGATGGGAGCTTGTTTTTGTTGGTTAGGTATCTTCATCACCTCTGTCTTCTCTACATTCACTTGAAGTCCCGTCTTCGCCACCTGCCTCTTCTGCCAACTTGCTAGTTTTCATCTGTAGATCTTCGAGTTTGTGCCACAAGACATTAGACATAAGTCATCGGCGAAATCCAAATCTTCTAGGCCCTTTTTCGCAGTCCAGCGTATCCCCCTCTTCTCGCTCCTCACTGTTGTCTACTGCATGGTCCAGTCTAGTCGACTACAATCAGGAAGATCATGGGTGGTGATAGTAGGCAGCCTTGTCATACTCTTACCTGTCTTCACTTCACGTCAAAGGCATCACTGAACTTTCCATTGTGAATTACTTGGCATGTGGCGTCTTCATATAGTTGTTGAATGAGAGTTGACTGCCATTCTTTGCTCTGTTCAATGATGATGCGTAGTGTAGCATTGCAATTTGGTCCATACATGATTTGTAATTCCTGAATCCAGCCAGCCAGCCTGTTCCGGTCGTATTTTTGAATCCAGTGCATCTTTCAGTCTCGCCTTAATGTTGCCTAGTTTCCAGCGAATTTTCAATTGATACTGACTTTTATTGGATTGTGATAGTTGAGGAAGACAATATGGCTGGCAGTCATGAAACAACTAAACGGTTCTTAAAGAGTTCTGTCTCCCACGCAGAAGTGTAACCTGTTCAAGGTCATAATCTTCACACCTACCATCTTTAATGCCTTAAAAAGTTCAGCTTCAGATGATCTAATTAGTACACATCAAGTTAGTTATCAGTTTAACTGTTTTAATAAGTTGTAGAATATATGTGCATAAACCTATCAATTTGATCTTCTTTATCATGTTCAATGTAGTCCTTGAACTTCACATAGCATGATAAGATAATTTAGACTGCAAATGATGAAGACATTGCTTACCAAACACTTTTCACTACAAACAGAATGAAGTTACACATGAGTAATTTATACACACATTAGACATGTAGAATGGTTTACAGCCTAATTTATGAAGGTGAATTAAGTTGGCCGGTTGTCTGTAATACTCTTTTATAACATGAAAACATTTGTTCTTAGTGATGAGATGTGCCTGTATCAACAAGGAATTATTTCCATATACGGAAAGAGGCATCAGAATGCGCTTTAAGGCATGTGTGAATGAGCATATGATCCAGCTTTATTCGCATGCAGAATATAACAAAAATTATGCTTGATGTTCTGACAATTGAGGAGTCAGCATGTTGATGAACTAGTCAGCTAATGATAGGTAGTTCACCAGCCTAACGTCATGCATAGTTCGATGTTTTTTCCCTTCTTCAGTTGGCTTCATATCTATCTCGTGTTTGAGATCACTGTGTTTTGGCGGTTAGTTTGGTTCTAGCTGGATTTTAGCTTCAGCACACCACTAGAATGATCACTGTCAGCCATAAGTATATTTAATCAGCGTTCCAAAACTTTGTCAAAGGTCACAGTCGGTGGTTAGGTTTCGGTAACTAAAGTGCAGTTCACTCATCTAATTTCATAGTATACTAGCTTGTCTAAGTCACCCAATATTAGGTAGCTCACTTCAAAGTAGCTCACCTACACGCAATAAAACCAAGATCTCTTAACGACGGTTCACTGGGTGGATTGGTGAGAAAAATCCAAAGGCATATGAACAAACACTTCAATTCCTTCATATTGACAGCAATATTTAACAATGGCTATATAACAAAAATTTGTTATAAAACAACCCATTCCAGTCAATGATGCAATCAAAATACACACATAAATAGACTGGGAGTCAGTGAAACTTCAGTTTTCCGCCTAAAATGTGACACAATGTCCAAACAGTTCGGTTGAGATGTGGCTATCATGCAAAATATTCACTAAGCATGTTGATTTCTCCGCCGTTTTTGAGTGCTTAGCTCACATGCTGAATTTCCTTTGGTGAAGAGAATCAGTTGTCTGTTGTAGTGAAAACAGGAAAGGTACTGTCACACTGCACTATCACAATAATAATGACTTCTAAATGAGCCGATTTTATCGCTTGCAGTGGTGTAGGCTTTTAGTGTTGTTACATAAAATAGGTTCCAACCTTACCTAAGACCTAGTCAACTTATGCATGGCCAGTATATCTGAACTTGGTGAAGTCTTTGAAAAGTAGGACTCGGTAGCCTACTAGTTTATCATAAATAAATAAAAGGGGAAAATAGCCCATAACATTGATTGACAAATCTTATGGTGAACTGTATTAGAAATTACTGTGAAGTTGTCGAAAACACCAAGTTAACAATGTGTAAATATCAGTCAGTCGGTTAGCATGAACAGGGGACACGGCATTACTTCGTAAGGGTGGAGTTATTCAGGGTCTTGGTATGTCTTTGGAGATTTCTTGGGTCACTCTTCAACCAAGCCTGATTGGACTTCCTAGGTATGCGTTGTTCCTTACACTCAACCGCTTCACTTTCTACTGTCAGAAAGGGCAACACTGTTGACTCATTTTAGAGTGACAGTCTTCTTTCATGTAGTTTGAAACTGATGCTAGATATTCTCAGTTAGACCTCCAGTTTACAGGTTTATCTTGAGAATTTGCAGGAGATATTAATAGTTATTTTTATAATAAAGTGGTTGATTTTGGAAGAATTTGGGAATTGGGTAAATGATATTCATTATTTTGATATGTGCACTTCCCAATGCATGTAAAATAAAATAGATAAACAAATGAATAAAGTGACTAAGTAAATACCCATAAACTCGCATACTATATTCTAAGTCGAACGTGTGATTTGCGACGCCTATCCATACTACATAGTCACTTAAAATTCGGCGGTCGGTGTAGGTTGCATATGATGACACATTAGATAATAGCACCTGTTAGATACAACGTTGCCCAGTGAACTAGTTCACTAGCCGGTCCTAAGCCCAGATAAAGAGGGGTAGGGCGTAGGGGGCGTAGGGCTAGCAACCCTACCTAGTAAAACCGATCCAATCGCTAAAGAAACTTCAAAGTACAAAGAAAATATCAAATATAAAAACAAACTTATTCCTCACTGGAATCGGAAAGACGAAATGACACCGGTTGTTGAAAGCCATCGGGAAGTCAATTGCCCAATGTATCTTCTCTCGATGAAGATGAAAGTAAGAATGGGGACATGGAATGTCCGAACAATGTCTGAACCTAGTAAGGCTGTCCAGATTGCCAAAGAGGTGAGAAGATATAGCATAGAAGTGCTAGACTAGGAATCTGAGAGGAATCTGCAGATGGAATGGAACAAGGACTCTCCAAACTCTTAACTGGAGAGTCAATAATCTACTCCAATATTGTCACTCAAACAACAACCACGAGCACACTGAGTTTCCGAGTGGCTATCATGATGTCCCCGGGAGCATCGAAGGCTCTCTCTCTCCCTCTCATGCAGTGAGAACCAGTCTCCTCCACGATCAGGATCATGACAGCGAGATTCAACTCGAAAGGAAGGAAGATCACAATCATACAATCCCAATGCTACACACCTACAAATAGTGCAGATGAAGAGAGGAAGGAGTAATTCTAAAGACAACTGCAATCAGTACTGGACAAGGCTGACTCCACTCCCGTTGGCGACATCAAAATTCTAATGGGTGGGGTGACATGAATGCGGAACTGAGAGCAGACAACACAAGAAGAGAAGTAATCATGGGTCGAGAAGCACTCAGTGAAATGATGAATGCTAATGGAGCAATGTTTGCAGACTTCTGCGCATTTAATGACTTGGCGATTGGAGGCAGTGTGTACAACCACAAGGAGATTCACAAGGCAGTGACATGGATTTGATGTCACCAGATACCAGATACACTGAAATTCAGATGGACTTGATCTCAATGTAAGGAAAGTGGAGACGCAGCCTACTGGACACGAGATCAGATCAAGAGGAGGAGCAGATGTAGGTTCACACCACTCACTATCTAGTGCAAGAAACCTACCTTCAAAATCAACTCGAAAGCCTTCAATTCAAGGAAGCTGGTGATAGACCACAGTTCAGGTTCAACAACCAGAACAGAAACTGAACTGAACTGAACTGAACTGAATTGAAGGATGAAACTACGAGGGACACCTTCACGTCATTCAGCCATCAGGAAAAGATGGGAGACATTGAGTAGCATGCCTTAAGGATCGGGCGCGGAAGAAGACTGGAACTCTGTGAAAGGGATGTGGAAGGGAACCTGCATAACCGTGTTGGGAAGGAAGAAGAAGCAAGACAAGACAAGACAAGGAATGGATCTCGACGGACATATGAAGGCTGGCAGAGGAGGGAGAGGAAGATGGTGATGTTGAAGCAGCAGATGAACCGATGCAGTGCAGTGCAGTGCGGTGCAGGGAAGAACAACGGAAGGAGGAGCTGAATGCAACATATAAACCACTACACTGGAAACAGAAGTGAAGAAAAGTGTGCAGAAAGACAAAACACACTTCTTCGACACACTCGCAAGTGCAGCAGAACAGGCTGCTAGAAGGAGACCTGACGACGCTGTATCAAATAACTAGCTTACTACCTTCGGGGGTGGGGGGGGAGGTGATGAACACAGATAAAACCAATGAAATAATAGATGAGGAAACCTCGTTAGCAAAGAGGAGAAACAAAGAAAACAATGGGCTTACCACTTCAAAACACTCTTGAATCAACCACCACTACCATCTACAACTCGTCCAGAAATACCGCCAGCAGTCCAACCACAGAATTATCAGTGAACACAAGACCTCCAACAAAAGCAGAAGTCCTAAACGCCACAAAGTTGGTGAAATCTGGGAAAGCTGCAGGACCAGATGGAATTTCTCTGGAAGCACTGAAAACAGACGCAGAGACAACAGCGGATATGCTCACACCACTACTGCAGAAGGTTTACAAGGAGGGAAGGAAAGGTAGCTGTCCGTTGATTGGCAGATGGGCTACCTTGTCAAACTTCCAAAGAAGGGAGACCTAAGTCTTCGCGAGAACTGGTGAGGAATCATGCTCCTGTCCACCTCGAGCAAAATACTAATCCTCATAATCCTGAAGAAGATAAAAAAATGCTCTCGATTAAAAAACTACGATAGGAACAGGCTGGCTTCAGCACGAACAAATCATGTACGGATCAAATTGCAATGCTACGCCACGCATCAGCATAGAACAGAGCGTAAAATAGCAGTCAACCGGATTTTTACATCAACTCCATCGATTTTGAAGACAGCGTCGACCGAGAAGTAATTTGGAAGTTGCTGCTTCAACACTTCGGTTTTAGTGCCGCAAACCTTCACCAACCACATGCAACAACTATATAGTATATGAGGATGGTACACGCCAAGTGATTCACAATGGAAAGCTCAGTGATGTTCTTGAAGCGAAGTGAAGACAGGAGATAGGATTAAGACAAGATTGCCGCCTACTATCACCATTGATCTTCCTGATTGTGGTCGACCCGACTCAACTCGAATGGCCTAGCCTAGACTGGATTGGATCATGCTGTGAGGAGCGAGAAGATGGGCGTACGCTGGCTGGACCAATTAAAAGACCCCAGAAGAAGATTTGTATTTCGTCGATGATGATTTATGTCTAATGTCTTGTCGCACAAACTCGAAGATCTACAGGCGAAAACCGACAGGTTGGCAGAAGAGGCAGTGAACGTGGGACTTCAGGTGAGCGTAGAGAAGACAGAGGTGATGAAGGTACCCAACGAACAACAACAAGTAGCACCAATCACCATCAACGGGAGAAACCTAAAGGAAGTTGTCTCTTTCACCTACCTGCCTAGGCAGCATCATTTCAACTACATGTGGCGGCACAGATGAGGATGTCAAAGCCAGGATTGTAAAGACAGAAAGGCAGGCCTTCATCAACCTGAAATCAGTGTGGAGATCTACTTCACTGTATTCAGCATAAAGCGTGAACAACATCCAGATTTTCAACACTAATTCAGTTAAGTCAGTGCTTCTATGTGATGTTTGAGAGGCTTGGCGCGCTACAAAAAGCATTTCCAACAAACTACAGATATTCATCAACACCTGCCGCCTACGTTCACTCGATACTGAAGATCAGATGAGAAGGCCAGAGAGAGTGAGCAGCAATGAACCTATCGCCCAAGAAATGTGTAGAAGAAAGTGGAGGTGGGTTGGGCATTCACTGAGAAGACTATTTAGGGACATCACACACTAGGCCATGCCAGGCCGTCGAGTGGAACTCAAAGGGGAAACGACGAGTTGGGCGTGCGAGCCGAGAGTGACGTGGTGGAGATCGTGTGAGGAAGAAATGAAAGCTTCTGGGGAGTTGTGGAGCCAGGTTTTGAAGACTGGAGAGAAGAGAGTGAAATTGCGACGTGGTACTGAAGCCCTATGTTCCACAAGGGACCCGAATGACAAATAATAATAATAATCATAATAATAATAATTTATTGATTGCGATGAACTACATCTTTAGTCCACCGACATAACTTGGTTTAAATCAACTGAATTAAAATGCAAATGTCATGTCTGATACACTAACTGTATGTAGTGGATATTAGTAAACCAATGCAACTTACTTCAATATATTGAACTAATCCGGGTAATTAGTTGCGTGATATTTCAGTCAACTATTTATGTGGACTGAATTTCACATAACGGAAGTAATGAAACTGATGAATGAACCAACCAAATTTTTGACATCAGTATCGACCTTGTCTTATCACTTTTGGTTACATACACAAATTCTCATGTGCATTCATTTATGAGGTCGGATCTGTACATGATAAAAACAAAGTTTGTCAATCATCAGACAGATGTTTATGAAAATGAGAATTTTTTTAGCAAAACATGCTCCTTCCATTCAAAGGTTTACCATTTGATAATCTTCAATATGCTCAGTATTCGAATAAACTAAACTTTTCAGGAGTTTTCACGAGAATTTATCAGTTGGTAAGGAGTGCTCAGTAGGCTATGGCTTAACAAACATTAAAAATCGAAGGCAAAAGAATAAAATCTTGATTAATATATCTCCACAATAGAGCAAGAATGTTGTGCACATAAAACGGACAAGAATAACGGTGTGTAATATTAGACAGCAGACCTTCACTTTCAAAAGTACCTATGAGGAAATATGATGATTTAAATATTCGAAAATTAAATCAAAAATAAGTTTTAGCGAGGAATATCTTAATCGTACCTTTATGGAATGCAACAATTACCCAAGTTTAACTTGTTCATTTTAACCCTTCAGTGATGCCTAGAAGACCACTGAGTTTACTACAGACCGTCCTGTACCTGGGTTTCGTGGTTGTTAGCCCATGCGGTTGCAGATATGCCCTGATGACGAGTGCTAACAAGCATGAAACCTAGGTCCAAGGTATCCTGCCAATTGCCTCCAGTCAGCTAACACCTATCAACGTGAATCGCGATGGTGAGCTTCCTAGCTTTGTGGCCGCGTTGCAAATCCATCAACATAATTCGGTCAGTGAATAACCTTATCTCAAATGACTTTGCCAGAAATTATAAGCACGAACTGCAGGTCATTCCAAGGAAAAGTGGATTACTTACAATCTCTTATATCCTCCAATATGCACCTTAATGTTGGAGTAATTACACTGCAATAAGCTTGGTTACATGAACTTTATGATAACAGCTTGGTTCATTTGAATGGTTTGAAAATTTTCCGTCATCATAGATGTAGCTATATAAAGAAAAGTGGATGTGGTGTATGTAGCTACCTTCATCAATACCCATTGATGCATTTTAAGTTACACATGCTTCAAATTCCCAAACAATCACCTAGATTCTACCACTATTAAATGCCTCCCAAAACATCTGAACAAATATTGCTTTACATATATCAAAAATATTTATGTGACACCTGGTTGTGGTTTCTCTGAAATATATTTATGGAATTCGCAGCCCCTATACTCTGTGATTCCTTGTCCATAATATTTGGTGGTTTCAATCCTTGTGAGCAAAACTTTCTCAAAGCTCTTGGTCATCAAAACCTTTTTAACTTCACAACACGTCTGGATGCAACAGTAGACTAGGTATTCATCGAAAGAGAGCCTACTGCTCGGCTCAGATCATTGCACTATACGTGTTTCGCCCAAAGTATGTGGCAAAGTACACAAAATAGCCCTCACATATAAGAGAGCTGGACATAGAAACTATTCACAGAGTAACATACCTAGTCTAAGGGAATCGTTACAACGCACAGACTGGAGTATATTTGACAGTGATGTTTTGGACGACACTACTGATGGTATGGCATGCTATCTCAAGTTTTACCTGGATATCTGTTGCCCCAGCAAAAAGTTTTTCTCAGCTTCGACCGTTTATCTTCTCCCCAGCTTAGGAGACTAAGAAGAGAAAAAGAAAGAATATATAAGGTAAGTGATAATGCTGGTGGTCGTCAGTTGAACGTTTTAACTGAGTTGGAGATTACACGTCTGAGTCTACCACATAACCAGAAACGTTTGTCATGCAAAGGCTCTTTCACATATACAAACTTTAAATGACGTCACTGGTAGTTAACACCTTAGTAAAGAAGCATACGTCAACGTTTGTACTTTGAACAAATCGTTTGTGCGCCAACCCACTTGTCCTATCTCACTTTGTCCAAACATTTCCAATGAAGAATGCTATCCAGAGTTCACCGATAAAGAAATATACAAATTGCTCAAATCCCTGAACCCTTCACGCAGTTCAGGTCCGGATGGTGTGTCAAGCTTAGTATTCACGAAGTGTGCTAATATTTCATGTCATCCATTAGCAAACATGTTCAATAGATCGTTTTCAAAAAGCATCATACCAGTGACTCGGAAAGGTATTCAGTAAACTTCACTACCTAAGTCAGGAACTGCAGGCACATGTACCAAATCCTGTTCCATTGAAATTACTTCTCCGTTCTTGAAAATAATCGAGAAGCTAATAATACTCGTGCTTCAACCCTGATTGAAATCTTTCGGATACCCTTGTCAATTTGCATATAAAAGCAGAAGAAGCACTTTGGATGCCACCACTCTCTTATATCACAATATTACTCGTGACCTTGACAGAAATGCCAAGTATTTCAGGTGTGCTTTTTTAAACCATACTTCGGCATCTGATTCTATCCCAAGACCTGTTTTGCTGGACAAGCTAACCAGCACAAATACTGAGTCCTGGACAATCAGATGTCTATATTCCTACTTCTCTTAAGGAAAACAACATTCTGTTCAGAGAGAAGCGCTTCACCCCATTGCTTACTGTGACTGGTGTACCCCAAAGAGCTGTCTTTTCCCCCTACTATTTTCACTTTCTTTCTGTAAGACCGATCATCTTCAGCTGGTATCAATTTTACCAAATATACTGATGATCTGAAAGTTTCCGGATCTCTCTACTTTCCAACATATTATTCCCAGCTGAATGTTTTATCTACTGCCTAGCTTTCTATGTTAGGAAACTGAGAGTATCTGGTATAATTCAGTCTCTCCTCTTCTGTTTTATAAACGCCTGCATCTTGCCTATTCTCTTCAACTGTTCCGCTTTATTCTTCCCCGGGTTGCCGAAGACAGACCATGCTGTACTGTTTAGAACTTTGGAGATTATCAGCAGAACTCATGGTATACCTCTGGACCTCCTAGTTCAAACAGTTGTAGATAGATACTAACTCATGTCAAAATTTGCAGGAGTTATTTCATAAGATAAACAATATCCTTTTCACTCAAAGCTCTCTGAGTGTCAGTCATCTGGAAAGACAAGCAGTAAGTACATAAGAATTAATGCACGTACTCTACAATACCGTAGAAAGCTCGTCCTCGGAATGATAGAGAAAGCATTACGAATGGACTCACCCAGCAACTCTGTTTGAAAGCGAGCTAGTTGATGACTTAACAGAATGTTAGTATTTATGTGCTATGAATCTAAATCTTATATGACTATCAACCTAAATTAACCATGCATTTTCAAGAAAGTTGTAAACAGAGTGAAAAGTCGTATTCTTTCTTTATGTAATTAATATAGGTTTCACTTTCCTATGTATACATATACACAGTTTCTGTCCAACTGATGCCATATGATACGCCGAAAATACTGTAGAGTAATACTATTACTGGAAGCACGACCTAACAATCTACGAGTGATAACAACCTAGCCGTCTACGAAAGATAGGAAACTAACGTGCAGGTGAGTCGACTCCAAAAAAATCGGAACATCAACTACCACAACAACAGTGCCACTGATGCGCAAAGTCAAGAGAAGGCACACCATTAACAGAGAGCTTTCAGCTGTCTCAACAACAGTCAATACAGTTGACAGCGATGCTGAATATATATATTTCTAAATATAGTTGAAAAACTGAGCCCACATACCTACTATTACTGATCATCTGAGTCCATTGTGTAACATAGGGCTTCAGTACCACGTCGCAATTTCACTCTCTTCTCTCCAGTCTTCAAAACCTGGCTCCACAACTCCCAGAAGCTTTCATTTCTTCCTCACACGATCTCCACCACGTCACTCTCGGCTCGCACGCCCAACTCGTCGTTTCCCCTTTGAGTTCCACTCGACGGCCTGGCATGGCCTAGTGTGTGATGTCCCTAAATAGTCTTCTCAGTGAATGCCCAACCCACCTCCACTTTCTTCTACACATTTCTTGGGCGATAGGTTCATTGCTGCTCACTCTCTCTGGCCTTCTCATCTGATCTTCAGTATCGAGTGAACGTAGGCGGCAGGTGTTGATGAATATCTGTAGTTTGTTGGAAATGCTTTTTGTAGCGCGCCAAGCCTCTCAAACATCACATAGAAGCACTGACTTAACTGAATTAGTGTTGAAAATCTGGATGTTGTTCACGCTTTATGCTGAATACAGTGAAGTAGATCTCCACACTGATTTCAGGTTGATGAAGGCCTGCCTTTCTGTCTTTACAATCCTGGCTTTGACATCCTCATCTGTGCCGCCACATGTAGTTGAAATGATGCTGCCTAGGCAGGTAGGTGAAAGAGACAACTTCCTTTAGGTTTCTCCCGTTGATGGTGATTGGTGCTACTTGTTGTTGTTCGTTGGGTACCTTCATCACCTCTGTCTTCTCTACGCTCACCTGAAGTCCCACGTTCACTGCCTCTTCTGCCAACCTGTCGGTTTTCGCCTGTAGATCTTCGAGTTTGTGCGACAAGACATTAGACATAAATCATCATCGACGAAATACAAATCTTCTTCTGGGGTCTTTTAATTGGTCCAGCCAGCGTACGCCCATCTTCTCGCTCCTCACAGCATGATCCAATCCAGTCTAGGCTAGGCCATTCGAGTTGAGTCGGGTCGACCACAATCAGGAAGATCAATGGTGATAGTAGGCGGCAATCTTGTCTTAATCCTATCTCCTGTCTTCACTTCGCTTCAAGAACATCACTGAGCTTTCCATTGTGAATCACTTGGCGTGTACCATCCTCATATACTATATAGTTGTTGCATGTGGTTGGTGAAGGTTTGCGGCACTAAAACCGAAGTGTTGAAGCAGCAACTTCCAAATTACTTCTCGGTCGACGCTGTCTTCAAAATCGATGGAGTTGATGTAAAAATCCGGTTGACTGCTATTTTACGCTCTGTTCTATGCTGATGCGTGGCGTAGCATTGCAATTTGATCCGTACATGATTTGTTCGTGCTGAAGCCAGCCTGTTCCTATCGTAGTTTTTTAATCGAGAGCATTTTTTTATCTTCTTCAGGATTATGAGGATTAGTATTTTGCTCGAGGTGGACAGGAGCATGATTCCTCACCAGTTCTCGCGAAGACTTAGGTCTCCCTTCTTTGGAAGTTTGACAAGGTAGCCCATCTGCCAATCAACGGACAGCTACCTTTCCTTCCCTCCTTGTAAACCTTCTGCAGTAGTGGTGTGAGCATATCCGCTGTTGTCTCTGCGTCTGTTTTCAGTGCTTCCAGAGAAATTCCATCTGGTCCTGCAGCTTTCCCAGATTTCACCAACTTTGTGGCGTTTAGGACTTCTGCTTTTGTTGGAGGTCTTGTGTTCACTGATAATTCTGTGGTTGGACTGCTGGCGGTATTTCTGGACGAGTTGTAGATGGTAGTGGTGGTTGATTCAAGAGTGTTTTGAAGTGGTAAGCCCATTGTTTTCTTTGTTTCTCCTCTTTGCTAACGAGGTTTCCTCATCTATTATTTCATTGGTTTTATCTGTGTTCATCACCTCCCCCCCCACCCCCGAAGGTAGTAAGCTAGTTATTTGATACAGCGTCGTCAGGTCTCCTTCTAGCAGCCTGTTCTGCTGCACTTGCGAGTGTGTCGAAGAAGTGTGTTTTGTCTTTCTGCACACTTTTCTTCACTTCTGTTTCCAGTGTAGTGGTTTATATGTTGCATTCAGCTCCTCCTTCCGTTGTTCTTCCCTGCACCGCACTGCACTGCACTGCATCGGTTCATCTGCTGCTTCAACATCACCATCTTCCTCTCCCTCCTCTGCCAGCCTTCATATGTCCGTCGAGATCCATTCCTTGTCTTGTCTTGTCTTGCTTCTTCTTCCTTCCCAACACGGTTATGCAGGTTCCCTTCCACATCCCTTTCACAGAGTTCCAGTCTTCTTCCGCGCCCGATCCTTAAGGCATGCTACTCAATGTCTCCCATCTTTTCCTGATGGCTGAATGACGTGAAGGTGTCCCTCGTAGTTTCATCCTTCAATTCAGTTCAGTTCAGTTCAGTTCAGTTTCTGTTCTGGTTGTTGAACCTGAACTGTGGTCTATCACCAGCTTCCTTGAATTGAAGGCTTTCGAGTTGATTTTGAAGGTAGGTTTCTTGCACTAGATAGTGAGTGGTGTGAACCTACATCTGCTCCTCCTCTTGATCTGATCTCGTGTCCAGTAGGCTGCGTCTCCACTTTCCTTACATTGAGATCAAGTCCATCTGAATTTCAGTGTATCTGGTATCTGGTGACATCAAATCCATGTCACTGCCTTGTGAATCTCCTTGTGGTTGTACACACTGCCTCCAATCGCCAAGTCATTAAATGCGCAGAAGTCTGCAAACATTGCTCCATTAGCATTCATCATTTCACTGAGTGCTTCTCGACCCATGATTACTTCTCTTCTTGTGTTGTCTGCTCTCAGTTCCGCATTCATGTCACCCCACCCATTAGAATTTTGATGTCGCCAACGGGAGTGGAGTCAGCCTTGTCCAGTACTGATTGCAGTTGTCTTTAGAATTACTCCTTCCTCTCTTCATCTGCACTATTTGTAGGTGTGTAGCATTGGGATTGTATGATTGTGATCTTCCTTCCTTTCGAGTTGAATCTCGCTGTCATGATCCTGATCGTGGAGGAGACTGGTTCTCACTGCATGAGAGGGAGAGAGAGAGCCTTCGATGCTCCCGGGGACATCATGATAGCCACTCGGAAACTCAGTGTGCTCGTGGTTGTTGTTTGAGTGACAATATTGGAGTAGATTATTGACTCTCCAGTTAAGAGTTTGGAGAGTCCTTGTTCCATTCCATCTGCAGATTCCTCTCAGATTCCTAGTCTAGCACTTCTATGCTATATCTTCTCACCTCTTTGGCAATCTGGACAGCCTTACTAGGTTCAGACATTGTTCGGACATTCCATGTCCCCATTCTTACTTTCATCTTCATCGAGAGAAGATACATTGGGCAATTGACTTCCCGATGGCTTTCAACAACCGGTGTCATTTCGTCTTTCCGATTCCAGTGAGGAATAAGTTTGTTTTTATATTTGATATTTTCTTTGTACTTTGAAGTTTCTTTAGCGATTGGATCGGTTTTACTAGGTAGGGTTGCTAGCCCTACGCCCCCTACGCCCTACCCCTCTTTATCTGGGCTTAGGACCGGCTAGTGAACTAGTGAACTAGTTAACTAGGCGAGGTTAAAAGTCACCATATAGATACTAGGTTTGAATCACTTGCAAGGCATGTGCCTATGAGCTGGGACTCATGGAAACCGACGCTACACTTTGATTGCCTACTCAGTTGGAGTTTTCAAGCGTGTGCATTTGCTACGTTTCGGTTTATCTTCCCTATGTTGAGTGCTATTTATTTCTGCCATAGATTCTTCAATATTTTTGTTATGTCCGGTGCAGTGTCTATGTGAAAACGTTCGGGCTGTGAGTTGATCATCAGGTCGATGTGTTTACCTGACCCATGAGTGTTGGTGTTATAGGTGGCTGTAGTACTCATAGATGTTTGAGATCTGACGTCGATGGGGTCGGCTCCTTGACTTTGGTCAGTTGTTCCGTTTACAATAATCATTTCTGTTGGCATTTACGGTATTTGAACTGGCTCGATTTCACATAGTGCCAAGAGCCACAGTGCCAGTATACTGTATGCGGTTTCTAGTGCGGTGAGTTCAACGTCGACGGTGCTGCACATACTGCATGTGATTCTACCCTTCTCTGACCGCCAGACTGGATCAAGGTGGCATCTTTACGAAGGTTGGTCAATCTCGAACACCCTTCTCCAATATCTTTCAAAGTCATTCCTTGATCCCGTTCTAATCTGTTCAACATGCGCGTTCGTATATTTGCAAACGTGGGGAACTATAGCCTGTAAATGAAGATTACGACTGTAAACTGGCCTTCTGTTAGTGATTTTAGCTTGGAACGTTCACAGGTGCAGTTGACTATCCCCAACTGCATGTGAATATCATCGTTTTTGTTCAGCATCAGCTTCCTGCAATGCTAACGTATATTAAACAAGGATCAATTGTCACCAAACTGATGACGAAGTGTCTGCATGAACCTATCGAACGTCTAATCATCAGGTTTCTGTGACAGGATCGAATTGCAATATTTATCCAACTTATTTGCTTACGACTTCCGAAGCAACAGCCTGACTTCACACGCTTCGTCTGTGTTTGCGAAGTCTTCTCTGAGAAGGCCTTCCCTTTTGCGAAACAGTGTATCGAACGTTATGTAACTATTTAGGTCCATATCCATATGGCGTTCGACGGTAACATGCATGTAATCATGTGAGGAAGAAATGAAAGCATTTACGCATCCGTGGCAGCAGGTTCAAAAGACTGGAGAGAACAGAGTGCAATGCAAGCGTGCTACTGAAGACCTATCTTCTACTAGGAACCCAGGGATAAAATAATAGTAATAATAATCTATATAATGCTCAACATGACTCCAGTGATTCGAAATAGTTTTTCAGCCCAGATTTAGGCGTCGTAACACCATGAATGTGGTGCGGCGACTGCGCCCTGACAACACACCAGCTTCCGCCCAAAAGGACCTGTTCCGTACATCTCACACCAGATTTCGGAAGCTGAGTTGAAACGATCGGAAGAAGCGGGAATTCTAACAACAGGAACCTATTCGTTGTGATTGGCACCGATCGCCAACAGGGATGATAGTCCAGTGAATGAAATAAGTACTTGCGATAAGTCTGTTGCTGGTGCTAACTAATCCCCAGATAAACAAAGAAGTTAACACACAGATATAGGAACACTTGTATTTAGCTTTCTTTCATACAAAGAAGTTTGTGTCAACTAATTTACTAAGTGACCAACAGGTGGTCTTCAGATCTGAAGAAAGCCTAACTAATTTCAGTCTACATAACAAAGAAATTTGGGATCCTTTCGGAAATCGTCACATCATATTATCCACAAGGACTCCTGTGATTTATTGCTTGCTTCGTTTTAGACTGATTCTTACAGATCCTGGAGACGACACAGAAAGAAAAGAAATGGAATCATTGTATGTACTACACAACAACTCGAATGTCCTAATGGATATTTCGAAAAATCTACAAATATCACGTTGACGTGTGTAAAATATCTCACACAAATGAACGAAAACAGATCGATTACACATTTCGTTGTCTACCAGAAATCATGACACTGTTCATACAAACCTCTCTTCAATCCACAATTTTGTCAACTCCACCCATCGAATGACAGTTTGCATGACTGTTTGTCGACCGATAGTAGCCACTCCATGTAGCACAGTCAACACACAATTAAACCAGGCTATTTTCCCGACGACTCCGCAGGGTGAAATACTTGGAAATACGAATAAGTACAATCTAGTAATTCAGTTTACTTATAACAGCCACATAGGTCAATATTACTTCGTGGTGGCAGCGTAATAGAAAGCCGCTCTGAAAGACATACTTATATCAATAACAAATTCAACATTAACTGTGAAGCGTCACTGATGAGAACGAGCAACAAACCCTCACTTGCATCCCCACATTATAGTTTAGAGCCAGGAAAGTTTAGTTCGAATGCTCCTGACACCTTTGTGTATATTAGATTCCAGGTTCATACTCAATTTCTCCTCTCAAACCAAATCGGGTATCAGTTGTCGTGACAGCAGAGAAGGTTTCATTACACAGGACTGTGAAAATAATGCTCACTTTCTGAACTAGGCTTTTGTATCCATTACCGTGCTTTAGGCTAACAATCTTGACGAGGTATTTGAATGCGAGCAACACCACAGACTGAGTCATCCGTTGGAGCAACAGACTACCTAGGCTTCATGGAATCTTTGCATAGTTGACCAGAAGGACGTGGACTGTAAAAGCAGAATTATTAATTACCGGATGAGACGAAAAGCCTACAATACTACTCGACATACTGCCGGTGAATTGAACTCGAGATTTACCTGAAGCAATAGGAGAAGACAAATTTTTGCCAAATTAGTCGAATTGTCGAAACTGGAAAATTTCCCTACCCATATCTCAACGTGGACACTGTAACGTAACAAGCAGGACTAGGAGGAGAATCGGGTAATTCTATTTCACTTCGTCAGTTTATAACCATCTCGTGACAGCTAATGAACGTCAACATACATTGTGCATTCATACCAAGTCAGTTAACATGTAGATATCACAATTAAACCGGTTATTCGTCTTATAATTGCTGACAAATCTGCACATATCCAATCGTCATGAACCCATGTAGTCTACACACCATCAAGGGTAAAGTTATTGCAGAACGCCTACAACAAATGACAGCGCAGATTTGTGTCGAGATGTAGACTGTAGTGCAACAACTACCTCAATGAATACCGTATGTCTCACTCATTTGCGAAGTTCATGCTGAAGAAAGACATGCCCATCCTGGTATCGTGTAACACCAACATTATTATTATTTTAAATTTGCGTTTCTAGTGAAACATAGGGCTTCAGTAGCACGGTAACACCAACAAAAAATGTTTAAATAAACCTGTCCATGTACTATGATAGAGAAGACGCACCACTGTATCTGTTTGACAAACAAGGTTATTCATGATCGTCCAATCGACACATTTAAGCGAGCCACCCTACTCACCTAGCATCCGTGTGCATATTAAGGAAACCCTAGTGAACCCAAGCTGTTAATTCATTACGTTCACAAGAATGATCTACCATGGGAATATCTAATAATGACACATTAACAGGAAGCTTCTCTCGAACAACCATCTCAAATGTATGGTGTACTCAAAATACATGCATGATGAAGCTGGAAATTAAGCTTATTCGGAGAATTACTGAGGCTTGATTTCGATCGCAAACAGAACCGATGTCACAAATACTTCAGCAAAAATGTTACTGAGTCACATTCTGTTGTCATTACTGTGAGAGACACTGGTGGAGCAGATTGATTTCTCAGTCACCAATGACTTTGAATTTCGTGCATGAAATTGGCTTTGTGGGGGAAACAGGTGACAGTTGTGGTAGCAGAAGTACAAGTTTTGCCCAAATGAAATGTCAAATTATTGCTGACCTCCTGGACAGCCTTTTGTTGTATTTCAGTGGTGATTCAGTTACTCATGTTGAGACTACATGGTCGAATCCCAACTGCACACCGATCTTAGTCACCCATCCAATTCCATATCAACCAGTCGTGAGTGACTTTATGTAACCTTGGGAAGTGAAAGCATGAAGCCTACCAGTGTGTCAGGGGAGTTGACTGAAGAAAAGGGGAAATAAACTGAAACACCAGTCAGTCAGCGAGTTTTCAAGCCAGATGAAGTTGGAATTTCTCTCAACCCAATAGAACAGATAAACTATTCACGTGTACACATGGAATACAAAACCTCTTCAGTGTTGAGAATTAGGACATGATGACAATTCACATCTTACGACGACACTTCAACTATAAGACATGTCATGGTGGCAAAATCCAGTAGATTTATCATAACAATCGGTCAGGATAGGCCAAGGCAGCAGAGTGTGGTAGTTCAAGCAAATATTGAGTGACAACCACTACCAAGGTTATTAACCTCAGCAGCATATCAATTAACACTCTGCACCCACTGATGCAACGTCAGTCAACACGGCTGGTCACAGCAAAAGTGTCCACAGTTAAATGGACTAGGTATTGTCTGCATGTGTGCCGAATAAAGAGAGACCGAAAGGTGTAGGTGGGTTTTATAGTTATAGTTACAGTTATTGTGAACGGGGTAGACACTCCATATACATGGTGTGAATCTTTGAACACCTCGTGTAGATTTGCGGGAAATTCAGTGGAGATGGTGACTAAAATTGCTCCCTTGTGTTTTCGTATGTGAAACATTTCTGTTTCACAGAACACCATGAGATGGAATTAATTTGGATTTGAAGAATTCAATTTCAAAACGTGGTGACTTGTTCACGAATCCACTTGTTGGTGTCCGAATAACTCGACTATCCATTCTACCGTCAATTTGAATTTTTAAAGACCAGAGATTGGAGCTTTTGTTTTTACCAACTGACGTATGCTGATCCAGCCACCTAGTTACCAGGAGTTTCGCCTTTTCAGCAACTATTATTATATGGGGAAGAGAATCTCTTAGCTTCGGCTTCAGGTATTGTCTGTAAGCGTAGGCTAGTCAAATAAAACAAAACACTCAGACACTCATGTCTGTGTTGACGCACCAGTGATTTGTTTCAACTGTTAATCAAATGACAGGTGAATAATATGGCTCTGTAGAATAAATCACGCTATCATGCGTTGTAGTCTCTTGCAACTTAACCTAGCAAATAAGGTTTCAGTGTTAAACACTAGGATCAGGTAGGCGGAATGCCGTTCTAAATATACACATTCAACCGGTTGGCAGTCATATTCAATAAGCGTCCGCAAGCATGTTGAATCATCCATTCTCTGAACAGTTCAAACCTGCATGCCTCAGTGTCAGAGTCACAGGGTTCACCACTACGTCGTTCTGCACCGCTTCCTCGTTGGAGGACTCGATTATGTACCCAATATTGAGGCAAGGTTGTAGTCGATTTAACTGTCAAGTAATCACTTCCCATCACTCAACAAAGCCTATGCCTAATACCTAGTGTGTCGGGTTGTTAACAAGGCCCACTTCACGATGGTCAAAAAATTCATCTTTTATTCTCGCATTACACCGTCGAAGAGACAGGAAGTCGCTTCGTATTCATTATGCACGCTTACGGTGTGTGTTATTATCGACTTACTTAGTGTATGAACGATATACAGTTTCTTTAGATGCTTCGTCAGGCCTTCTTGGCTCCAATGAATAAGTTTCTTCACAATTCCCATCACTAAATACTATAGTGGACGGTTGTTTGAGAGAAATTCGTTTTCCATCTCTTTCTATATAAGCGTTACCTGGCGTAAAACGAGCAAGCAAACAAACAAAACATTCGTGGATAAATGACCATGATGAGGCGCGTGTGATCAATACGTTGCAAAAGTTCCAGTCGCAGTGATACTCTCTGAATGCATAACAAGTGGAGTCGAGATCTGAAGGAGGAGACTGGTGTGGTTGAAGCTGATGAGTGACATACATTTCGGTAGGCGAATTGATAACCAGATGTCAGGCGACGCAGCTACCAACTCGTCACCGCTGTTCGAAATCTGCAATGCAGTCACTAGGCAAGATATTCCTAAACTTTTGGACTCTGGATTTGGATGTCAGATGTGAGGAGTAAATCTCCCAATTTTTCTTTTGCTTGTCGCATCTGATTGACATGAAGTATCTGCAATTATGAGGAAACCCATTCACGCAAATTTATACTTCAGTGTCTGTCTCAATTGCTAGCATACTTACCGACATTCTCAGATTGTTTCAAACTGTTTAGTAGTCTGCTTATTCAAGCTTGTATGAAAAAGAGTACTGCTGGTCACCTCACCCTTCCACTCACCCAGGATTCCTGCTATGGAAAGGAACAGCCATGCATAAATATTCATTATGTTCCTGCTCATTTCTCGAGCAATATTAGTCATCCGGGTAGTAGGTGTTAGTGATATCATCATATTTGTCAGTTGTCAAATCTAGGAATGGAAAGGGAGTTGTCAACTGTTCAGGGGTCGGCGTTGCAGTGCCTCAATCCGAGTAGACGTATGATATGTGAATCAGCGTATTGAGAGTGGGACATCAAGTATAAATCAAGTCAGTAATAAGATCATTGTGAAATGTAAGCTGGAGGACACGAAAGTAGTCAAAGCAGAGTAAGGAAGACAGCAAGCACTTGCTAAATCTATGCTAGACACACTATAGGCCAACCAGTATCTCACCTGGATGAGAGCCTACCCAGTCTGTGCAAAGTCAAGTCAGCGTTTTGTGCTCAAGTCTAGATTCAATCGGACGCCAATCAACTTCCGTCTAGAGTGAATCAGTCAACCTAATCAATCAAATCTCTGTCTACGTCAAAACGAACTGTGATCATGAGGATCTTTCGAAGTTGGCGGATGCATTTTCAAGGCGAGAAACGCATTTGAGGCATTCTCGCTTATTTTGAGTTCCATAGAGAGAAACAGGTGCAGGATGGTATGAGACAGGTAGATAAGAAGTATATGCTTCGATACTAGACATGGAATCACGACAATGTTTACACAAATATTCACACAGTTAAATGTGTCAAATGTAATATGCTTGTAGGTTGCAGGAAAAATTCAATGACAATCCGTCAGTTGAATAAGTTCAAACATTCAGACATCAAAAACAGCACTCACCCAAATCATCGAATTTACCGATCAACATGTGAGCATCTGCTTCAACCTCAACGAAATTGGCTGAAAACAGACTGAGCAGAATCAGGTTCACTTGCGTGCTTCTAGACATCATTCTTCTAGACTAGACACCAGAAAAGAAAACAATCTGATGAGTTACCTTGGAGATGTTCTCCAGCACTTCGAATGAAAAGGCCGTGGTTCAAGACGAGACAGTGAAGTGTTTCATAATTATTTCATTCCATATTCCAGAGGATGTCAAAATCGATGATCAGAATAAACTGTGTCTTACAGTACGGTAGTTGATTGGCCAGTGGATATTGGTCAATTCACGATATATTGACACGTTCAAGTCATCAGAATAGAGAAAGATATCTATGCTTAGCATGTCGTGTTGTGTCGCCAAATATTGGGAGTGTGGGTTCACTGTCACTATCCGGGATTGTTAGGTAGACCTAGAGCTAGCAAATTGATGTCTGTTCCCAGTATCGCTCTGATTTTCAGTGAGTTTTCGACTGAGATTGACTTCTACTGAAATACAATGGTCGAGTAGGAAGGTGCAACTAGTAAGCAAGAGACCAGACGGTCCCAAATGTCTTCTTTCTGGGACACATAACAATGATAATGATATACTGAGGTGAGAGTGTTGTGCTCGACATTTGCTGTTGTCACTGCTACCGAAAATTCAACC